ATTTAATTAATTAATTGTTATAAATTTTTCTTGAACTTATGTTTTATGTTGTAAGCCGCCTAGAGTGGTTGAAATGACTAGATAGGTGAGGTATAAATACAATTAACAACAACAACAACAACAACAACAACAATAATAATAATAATAATAATGTGAAACCTGGAATGAACGAGGTTTATGGAAGGAAAACAATATATCAGTTGATAATTGCTAAGTTGACATCTTACCAGTTTGCCCCACATATGTACTAGGATATAATGTTAAACATACAGACAGGAGTGTTTACTAGTCTTTGTTGGAGATCCCTGGTGTTACTTAGTCACCTCCCACATCCAGGCCCAATCTTCCCTAGTTTCTGAGATCAGGTAGGGTTGGGCATATTTGGGTTGATGTTAAAGGAAACATGCATGTGCAGAGTAGTTTGCAGCAGCAATGGCTCCTACTCTTTTAACAGAGGTGTAAATGTCAGAAGGTGCAGCTGACATAGCAAGCGACAGCTGCTGCAATTCCCTCTTCTTCACTATTGAAAGTAGAAGAGCCCTGTCCTCTTTTGCCTCTGGCTACCCTATCAGTAAATAAAGGCAGCAGCTGCTCCCTGTTCCCTTACTTGTTCTGTGTCTCTGGTTCTACAATAATAGAAGAGATTGGTCAGTAAGGGAAGAGAAGGGTGGTACCAAACTACCAAAGCCCACTTTATCTGAATCTTCTGTCCTCTGCTTGTAGAGATCACACAGACACTTCACTCTGGAAGCTTCAGGTGTTTGTTGCAACCTCTGCATGCACAAACTAATATATTTCTTCCTTCTTGACTATAGCTGAGGGTTTGTAAAAAGTAGATTTTCCAGCTTCAAAAGTACCCCATCGGAACCCACTGCTAAAGCAGGGGGGAAGTGACAAATTACAAAGCATGCATTTCTTCTTGCATACAACCTGTTATCAATGGCAATTTCTACACAGGAGTCTGTTGTTCTTATCTATACACAACAATGCTTCATTTATACATCTGCCTTAATCCAGTAGCAAAGTTATATGTTTCTTCCTGCTGCCTCAGGAAACTTGTGCTGCCATAACTGGTACAGTATTTCTAAGCATTGCTGCTATTCTTCGGTCTTGTTATTTTGTCCTAGGTTCAGAATCCATTTAAAGCTCCTCAAGGACACAGTCATTCTGTTATAAGTTCCATTTCAGTGTCCTTTGCATGTTTCAGCTTTTCAATTCCTGGCGCATATCAATTCACCAAGTGCTTTTCCAATTTAGATATCTGAGGGAGGTTGTCCAAGGGAAAGGCTCTGCTTAATTTCCCCAATATTTCAGTATCTGGTCACCATTCATATTGCAGGGGCGATTGTGAAATGTCTGTTTGTTTCCTACTGATTCTGGTTTTAAGGCCATCTCAAAACAATCAAAGTTTCTTGCTTCTGCTGCTCACTCAATTCACTTCCACTTAGAAGCAAAAGAGTACTTGACTCGATTTTGTGTGTACAGAAAAGAGGACACCAGACCAAGGGATTGTTGCCAGTGGTGTAGTGGAACTAGAGCTGGCAGGGTCACAGCCCTAGTATTTTTTGAGTAGCAAAGACTATGACCACATCTGCCAGCCCCCTCGGATTTCCCTTGTTCTCTCTACAGTTCCTGCAGTCATTTTAGCAGCTGAGAGAAAAATGGATTTTTCCAGGAACAGTGTATTCTTGCAGGCTGTCCCTGAGGGTAGTTTAGTCTTAAACTAGCAATTGAGAACCATTAACTTCACAAAATACCTACTCTTCATGTATTTAAATAGACTGACCCAGCTGCCTGCCTTTTTGGATTCTACTTATGCAGGGTGATTGGCTATGGGGCCAAGATGAGCTGCTCCACTTCCAAAATGTACAGCTGTTAATAGCAGGTAAGTAGATAGCTTTGGAAGTTGTCGCTGTTGTCTTAAATTCCATGCTTCTATAGCAGGGTAAGGCAAAAATCAGGCCTAAAAAATGTTGAACTGCAGGCCCCATCAGACCCCACTCAGAAGAGAGAAGATAAGGTATCTGTTCACTCTGTAACCAACCCTTCCATTGCACCATCCAGATGATGGGGGGTTGGGTTAGAGACATGAGAATGCAGAGGTACCTATTTCCACTTTCACTCTAGGTATCATCAAGAGCCCAATCCTTCCTGTTGCAATGATCAGCAAGAGTGGACAAAGGAGGTGGTAGGAGCAGAAGTTATGTTCTCTTGGTTGCATGCTTCCTAGAGCTTTACTCAAGAGGAGAAATGCCAGAACAGAAAGAGTTGTTTCAGGGGAAGAGGAGCTGCTGCCTACATGCCAACACTCCTTTTCTTGGCAGCAAGGATTGGCCAGGAGATGGTGGCTTCTACTAGTCACTGACAGCAAATCCTCTCTTTGACAGCTGATTTGAGACAGCTGAGCCATTCAAGAGCAGAGTGTAAGCAAGGAAAAGGGAGGAGGCAGTTACTTGCTGGGACCCATGTCCATCGCTGTATCACCCAGAGGGAGAATGGTGGAGGCTCTTTCTACAAGTATCCTGCGCTGGTATTGTCCAGATGCTGTGAGGTAAGGAGCAGAGATGGCTGCTCTTTCTCTAGGCAGCCCCATTGTACCTGTCTCCCCGTGTGGTGCCCAGAGAGGGCGAGCAAGCAAGAGGAACTAGGGGAGGAGGTTGGCTTCTCGCCCATGGACGCTCCACTAGGAAAGATGTTCTAGATGCAAGCTTTAGAGACTGCCAGATCTCTTCATCTGGCACAATCAAGCAAGTGCAGTGACGGAAGGGAAGAAAGAATAAATGGTGGACCGTATTCAAATTATGCGATCAGCACATGGTATCCTGAGGAGGAAGGGAGGGGGGTGAGCGTGTAGGCACTGCGTAGTGATTCTAGAGGCCAACTCGTGATTTTAGGTAGGTACGTCTCCTGCTGTCCTCTAGTTTTATTTATGTATTTAATTTGATTTGCATCCCGCCCATCTGGTCTATCCGACCACTCTTGAGTTTTCTAGCTTCTGATTCATATGGAGGGAAGGGAGAAGAGTTCGTTAACTTATTTTGTTATCATCAATCATCATTCCCCATCATCAGCCTTTATGGGTTGCTCTTCCTTCGAAAGTCTCGTGGTTTCAAAGGGGTGCTTCCCTTGACGTGTCGTCGTGCTTTTAAGTCTCCTTCCCTAGAACCTGAGATCAGCAGAAAGGTCACCCCGTCTCCGTCTGTTTCACTCCAGTTTCGGAAAGAAAAGGGAACCCACTCTCACCCTGCCGCCTGTTTCCCCAGAAAGACCAACCGAGGGCGCCACTCCCGCCCACCCACCTGTCAATAAAGGCCGAGCCGGCTCCGCCTACCCGAGCCTCGTGGAACTGGGCAAGAGCGCCGGCCGGACCAAGCTGGCGGCGGCCGTCACGTGAGCAGAAGGGGGTGGGGCCGCGAGCGGTCAGCTGACTGGCAGCAGCTGCCGGAAATCTCGCGCCTCGGAGAAGAGGGGGCGAAAAAGATGGCGGCGGAAAGGGAACCCCCTCCTCTCGGGGACGGCAGGCAGACCGAGTTCGAGGAGCTGGAAGACGGCGAGGACCTCTTCACCAGCACCGTCTCCACCCTGGAGGTAGGTCGGGGTGGGGGAGACTCCAGCAGCTGCCTCGCCGTCCTCGCTCTGCCTGTCAGCGGTGCCTCCTGGGTTCCCTCCCTCTGCCCGGGGAGACCGGTGGCCCTTCGGGGTTCCCCTCCCTCAGCCCGCGGTCCCGCTTCGCCTTCTCCCCGGGTGCCCTACCCGTCCCCTAGGCATCCATGCCTGCCGCTGCGGGGGAGCAAGCGGCGTCCTTCCTTGCTCAGGGCTTTCGCTTCCGTCCTGCCCCTCCGCTCGGCTGCAGCCCGGTGCCCCGAGAGACTCGCCTTCCAGCCGTGACACCTCCACAAAATTGCCCCTGACCTGCCTTCCCTTAACCTTCTCCCTTGGAAACCGTATCTCTTCCGCGCTGGGCTCTCTCTCTAGGTCTGCTGCACCTTCTGGGGTTTGAATTTCAAATACTGACTGCTCGCTCCGTTGCTGCCAAGTGAAGTCTTGACACGTCAGGTTCTTTAAGGATGAATATTTTGTTTACAGAGGAGAACCTCGTATTCATTTCCATAAAATGGGCTTCTAGGCTAACCTGCTGAATTGTGTATAGTATGTTCTCTGAGACCTTAAACTTCCTCAGTTTTTCTCCATCTCCCTTTTATTTTGCTGAGGCCTAATGGGAGGTTTTTGAGTACTTAGCAGAGCCTGACTGGGAATAAGCCCTGTTAGCTTCATTGAAACTTTCTTCACAGTAGACTTGTGTGGGAACCTGCTGCAAAAATATGTTGGAGCAGATTATTTTCCTGAGGGCAGGCCGTATGCATGGTGTTTTTTTTTTTAAATATTGTGGCCCTTGTTTGGTTAATTCACGTAACTTGTACACAATGTATGTGGATGCAGTTTGCATACTTGTCTGTATGTCTTCAAAACAAATCCCATTTAAATTAGTAATTAGCTTAAGAATTGGGTGGGTAATATTTCTTGGGCACTAAGACTCAGTTAAAACCTCCACTCTTTATATGTGTAATATATATTGAATGCTCTTAAAGCAAAATGTTTATTTTGATTTGTTAACAGTTTATGTAGTGGTTTTCTCATCCCTATTAACTGTCCTGTTCCTGTTTCCAGTGTGTGATAAATTTTTTTTTAAAAAAACCCAAGAACAACAGAGGGCCATCTGTCACAAAAATGAAGCACTGCTATTTTGCTGGAGGATGCTGCCTGCTGCTGAACTTTAAACTAAGGAAACCAGGGTGTTGGTTTATTTCCAGCTTATCATGCTGTGTCCGTGATGCTTTGTGAATTGCTTTGTGAATTCTGGATACGAATCCTTGAAACCAGCTGAAGTTTTTGGGTATACTGGGAGGGAAATAGACTTCAAGAAGAGTTTATTTACTTGAACTGTTTTCTCCTATCCCCTTTAAGTTGTTGAAAGAAGACTTTATAGTATAAAATGAAACATTAACCTAAGCAGGGGCTAAATGAGAACCAATTTTCATGGTGCATGTTAGAGCTGTTTGTCCAGATGTTAATATTTTCTCATGCGTGCAATTTTGGCCTTTGGCCTGACGTTTATGCTGCTATTATGGTAGTTTTCCCCTGTCCCTGTCAAAGTAGCTTTTAGTAATAAAGCTCCAAATTGAGAGAAACAAGAGCAGAAAGTGTGCCTACTGTAACTGTATGCACTAGAACAAGATCAATGCAATCTTGGTGGTTAAAAAAACCTCTGACTTTAAAGGACATTGAGGTGAAACTAACACAGAGAAGATCTGATAGTTGTAAGTCTTTGTGTTTTATAGCTAACTTGTGTGTTAAACTGTAGTAGCTGGGAAAGGTGAGGTTTTAGCTGGTAGAACCACAGTTATGCAGACATTTGAACTTCCCAGTTCAAATTGTGAGTATCATGAACTCACTGCCATCAACTTACAGCACCACATTTCCAGATACTTAAAAGCTGCTCCCTGTTAAACAGCACTATCTGATGCTCCAACCTTAAAGTCCTGTTCTACTGGGTTTTCCCTTACAATGGCTGAAACAATAGCAGTGGATTTTTAGGTTACCTACCAAATTATATAGAATCATAGAATAAATGAATTGGAAGGGGCCTATAAGACCATAGAGTCCAACCCCCTGCTCAGTGCAGGAATCCAAACACATATTACTAATACTATTTTACTTTTTTATAATGGCCTTCCTACTAGAGGGCAGCAGGTCCTGGTCTACACATTTTTGCATAAAAGGCATGGTTTCTGAAATCACATGGAATAATAGAGTACCTCCCTATCCACCCCCATAGAGATACTCTGGAATTACACTAATGTTACCTTTCCCTGACTGGCTTCTTGATCAATAGTATGCAAGCACAGTAGTGTTTTCTTCAATGACTTAGCAGCACATCATGGGTTTTTTTCTGTAGAAGTTTGTTCTTTATCCTAGTAGTGTGATTTCTCTAAGTATTGTTTGGGTATCAGATGTATTTTTATCTGCTTATAACATGTACACCTTACTTGAAAACCCTCTTTTTTGATCAGCACCAGCTATGCCAGGGAAACTATGTATTGTATAGTTTTCATGATTACTAGGGATGGGATCTCCATATTTTTAGGACTTCCAGTTCCAGAATTTGCCCAGAATCTCTCAAGCTGAATTCTGGGAGTGAAAGGAAATTAGACCAGCCCTTCCTATGTCCATGTGCTTCTTGTACCACTTCTGCTTCAAACCACATGAAAACTACTCTAATGCACTGTGGAAGTTCAAAGGCTCGCTGCAACTTGCAGAGGTGCATGAAAGGGCAAGTCCCAATACCTGTTAGAATGTATAGAGGTAGCATCCAGTGGAACTATCTCTCCCTTGCACCTTTGTGAGTTCCTTAGAGGATTGGGCCTCCCACAGTGCAGTGGAGTGGTTTTCTTGTGGTTCAAAAAAGAAGCTGCATGGGAAGAACATGGAGATAAGAAAGACTGGCTTAACCCTTTTTGGTTTTGAAGCTTGGCCTGTATATATATTTCCTTTCCTAGCTGTATGTGCCAATATTTGTGTTCTCTAGAGGTTGCTTCATATGTGACATTGACAAGGCTTTTAGCTGCTTGTTCAGCTGGCTGGGGATTTTATCTGGAGGACTCTGTTTAGCTTGCAAACTACTAAAGTCCAGAAAAATAAAAATGTATTTTAGATCAGTGGCTCTTAACCTTGGATAACCCAGGTGTTCTTAGACTGCAAATCCCAGAAGCCCCAACCAGCATAGCTGGTGGTGAAGGCTTCTGGGAATTGCAGTCCAAGAACACCTGGGTTACCCAAGGTTAAGAACCACTGTTTTAGATTAAAAAATATTCTACTTTGTGCAGTAGAGAAAGTATATGCTGTACTATCTACTTGGTGTCCTGTGTTTCTTTAAGTTCAAGGTAGGAATATCATGTCTTCAGTGCTCCAAATAGATTCTTTTTCCTCTTTATGTTAGAACTTGAGTACCCCAATGAGATGTAGAATTGGTTTATCCCAGTGGAATTGGAATTGATGGGTAATGGGTTCAGGACAGATGAAAATACACTAACCAATATATTCTAATAGAATTCATACCTGCAGGACACTGTTTATGATCATTAGATCACTTTAAAATGAGATTGGACTGAGGAAAGAGTTAGGTTTGCTGTGGTCCCAATCAATTGCTCCAGCATTCCTAACAACACCATCATAGTCTCCAGGGTGGTGCTGTCAATTTGTGCTTGTTCTTTATTTTAGTAGCCAGTCAAAATGATTTGCCAATTACAGTTGATCCTATTTCTAAACAACTGTCCTCTAGTTTGCCCCTATTTATGCATAGCTAATACAGTTTGACAGTGGAGCCAGAGGTTGGGAATTCAGTTTCCCAATATGCCCCCTAGGAGAACAGTCAGCCTGTGTAGCCGTGGGCAAGACACAGAGTCCCAGGGTGCCTGAAGAAGAAGGGAATGGTAAACTATTTGGTATTCTCCATCTAGAAAACTCTGAAAGGGATTGCCATAAGTCAGAGTTGACTTTACAGCATACAGTTATTAAATATTGGATAAACTCAGTATCCACATGTTTATGGCTAGCAAGTGTATATAAAATATAGCAAAAATTGTATTTGTGAATGAAATCAAAAGATCAGGGCAATCCTTCGTGGTGTCAATGTTCATGTATTTTTTTTTCCATTCTGAAAGATTGACATATCTTTTGAAGTAAATTGATTAGTTACTATAAATAAGATGTGATGTTTTTGGTTCTTATCTCTGGGTCTGCCTATTACCAAAATAGGAGCCTGATAAAGTTTCTGAAATTGAATCTGGTCCTCTTTGAAAGAGGATACCCTTTTTCTTTAGTATGCACTTGTATGCATCCACCAGCTTGTGTGGCATAACATACCGTGTTCCCTGAAAATAAGACAGGGTCTTATATTAATTTTTGCTCCAAAAACGCAGTAGGGCCTATTTTCAGAGGGTGTTTTATAAGTCATGTTATCTTTTGGTTGCTGCATGGTGGAGGGTGGGGTTTCACTTAACTAGGGCTTATTTTTGGGGTAGGGCTTATATTATGAGCATCCTGAAAAACCATACTAGGGCTTATTTTCAGGGAAACGGGTTATAATCTAAACTCTTTCCTCTTGGACTTCAGTAGAAAGGTACCCATTTCATATGAGATAAGTGAAACAAAGGAACTTTCCATTATCAGGTTTTTACCTGTTTGTAGATTGTTACTTCTTGGGATGCCTGCTTTGATTTTGAAAAGGATGATCATTCATAAATGAGTTGATTGGGAATTCAGTGTATAAAGGCAGTGCATCAGTTGCTGGATGGCTTGTTATGCCTTGCTTTTTATGACCTATCTAGGGGTATCTGACCACCGCTGGAAACAAGATGAGTTTTCCCAACCAGGGTTTTATTTTATAAATATATATTCATCTGAATGTTATAGGGAGCATAATACCCATAATACCTTTTAATTATGCCAGTGGTATTTGTAAATAAATCAGCTGTCCAAGGGAAATAATTAGTTGAATTCAGTTGGGTTTTGTTTCTGTTCATCCAGTCTTAAATATATTCCGATAAGGGCATCACATTCAATTTTAATTATATTTTAACTCTTATAACTCAATTTAATTAATTGTTATTGTTTGTTATTTTATTGTATTTTAATCTTTTATGGTTTTAAATTGATCTGAGGTGTGACAGGCTTTTTAAATTGGTAATATTTTATTTATTTATTTATTCAATTTATATGCCGCCCACACTACCCAGAGGTCTGGGTTAATAGTTTAACTTCCAATCTAATCTGTGCACATATACTGAGAATTTTAACTGCATTCAGTGGCATCTACTCCATAAGTCTCTATAAGATTATAGCCTAAAAACCATCTTCTGCATCTATTGCAGAATTATGGCATTCTGCCACCCAAGCCATATGGGCACTACAGGCATCTTTAAAAAAAACACATACTTTCAGGCATAGTGATTAATTTAGATGGTATTCAGAACCCTTCTGTAAGTGAATGCTACATTAGACTCTACCCTCGTGTTTAACTGAGTTCATATAAAGGATATTTTTGAAATACCAAGAAGTGAAAACAGTTGCTAAAATTCCTTCCTTTCTCCAGCAAGACTGATGATTAATGTTTCCTTTGTATGTTGTTGTTCTGAAATGTCTAGGAAGTGGAAATTGCTGACAAGCGTGCTTATATATAATGGTTTTCATGTTTTGTGCTTGTGAATGATAATATTATGAAGTGCACCAGGTTTATTTAGTGATACCCTGCTTCCCAACTCTTCGCTTCTTTCAACAGTCAAGCCCTTCATCTCCAGAGCCTGCCAGTCTTCCTGCAGAAGACATCAGTACAAATTCTAATGGTCCTAAGCCAGCAGAAATCATATTAGATGATGACAGGGAAGACCTTTTTGCTGGTAATTTTCTTTTATACCCACTTCTCTACCCATTTAAAAAAGAAATTTCAGAAACAATTCTAATTTACATGTTGATAACAGTGTACAGATAAATGAGATTTGCAGCTTTGTCACTGGAAGAAATAATGTTTCTAAAATCGCTTTAAAAGAATGATAACTGCATTATGAACAACTGTTAACAATAATTCAAAGAGTGTTTAACAGTCTCCTGAATGATAAATATACTCCTTTGTAACCATAGATTGTGGTTTTGTGAATGAGAGTCAATAAACTGCAAGCTTGTATTAATTCACTATTGTCTCTTTTGCATGAGCACGACAGACATTGAAATCATCTGCTTTTATTCATGAAGCAACTACATTGTAAAACAGCTTTACATGTTTGGATTAGTAGTAGACAGAACTATACTTTTCCTACTGATATGGAAAATCATTGGCTGAAGTCCTGTTTCTTAGTATAGTAAGGGACATTAGAGTCCCTTACTATACTATACATTGAATCATAGGAGATTTGGTGAGTTAACTTATAAATTCTAATGCGCCTTCTCTCGCTGCAACTTTAGCATAGTAAATTGCAAATAGAGTAGGCCCATTTGAATGAGTGGGACATATGGAGGAGTTGACTCTCCAAATGCCCATTATTCAATTGGTTTACTCTAGTTGCAACTTAGTAAAAAGCCACCAGATTTCAACCACTGTGGCTTTTGTTAAAAAAAACCCTATTAGATAATTAATCAGAACAAGGCATGAACAAAACATTGCTACATTTGATATTACTTCCTTGATGTTTGAAATGTCCAAGTTACGAAGTAATGGTTCAAAATTTTAGCATTGGTGGAAAGACTTATAATATGCTCTTATAAGAATCCTACAAATTACTCCATTGAATGTTACCTAATTTGCCTTGCTCTGTATTCTAGATTCGATACAGTAGTACATTGGAAATAGGCATTTTATATCATAAAATATACAATGCAAAATATGAATGAAAAACCTCTGAGTCTTTTCTTAATTAAAAGTATTAGAATTCTCTAAGTAGTGCTTGTAGGATGTGCATTAATCCTTTCCTCTTTTTTCCATGTAGAAGCCACAGAAGAAGTTTCTCTGGATAGTCCAGAAAGAGAACCAATACTTTCTTCAGATTCCACTCCTGCTGTTACTCCTGTTACTCCAACCACGCTAATAACACCCAGAATGGAGTCAAAAATTGTAGTAGCCCCTGTGGATTTTGATAGAACCAGGGAAGAGGTAAGAATAAAGTCACAATATCATTTTTACTGAGCTGTAAAATAATTTGCAACTGAGTGGAATTGTTATTATAAAACTTTTAATTTGGAATTAATGATACTATACCTGCACAGTAAAAATGTTCAGGAGAACAGAGAGATAAAGTATTTATTGTTTGGGGAACAATTATTTTGTTCTTATGGAAAATTAGTTTTATTAGTGATGGAGAGTGTTCACAGTTCGCGTACATGAGACTAATTGGTATTAGTAATTTCTCTTATACTGTTTCAGTGGATGTACCTAGCCCATTTTTAGAGCTTACTCATCTAGCGAGTGGTAAAAATGCTATACATGAATAATATATCTTACCTGTTAAAGAAATGTGAAAAACTGTGAGGCTGATTCTTCTAACTTTCCATGTAACATACTCTTACCTACTTCAGATATATGTATTTAGACAAGAAATATGTGAGCCTTGCACTTCTGTATTTAGTTTTAATATGCTGTACTCTCAAACTGTAGTGGTTAGTCTAGAAAGTATTGAAGTAACCAAAGTTATTTGAAGGTAACCATAAAGTCAACATTCCTAATAACCACAATTTCTTGATTGAGACTGCAAGAAAAACTGAAGAAATTGTGAGTTAGTTGCAGCATGCCAAGAAGGGAAGCATGTTGTCCAAAGGTTTGAGCATGTCTCAGCTTATGTTCATGTCAAGAAGGCTTCAGCATGAACAGGACCTTGTTAATAGGAGAGAAATTTTCCTAAAATGCAGATTGAGCTTTTCTCATAATGCTTCTTAACAAAACTGTTGTGCTGTTCTGGTAATAATTCAGTGATCAAATATTTTCCAGTTCACTGTATTTTTCGCTCCATAAGACGCACCTCTCCATAAGACGCACCTCTCCATAAGACGCACCAAATTTTTAGGAGAAGAAAACAGGAAAAAATAATCTGTTTTCTTCTCCTAAAAATTGGTGAGCCTTATGGAGAGGTCCGTCTTATGGAACACACCCTAGGATCTTTGGAGGCTCACCCAGCCCCCCCCCAAGGCCAGAGGGGGCAAAATCGCCACCTTCTGGGACTCTTCTGAAGCTTCCCAAGCCTCAAGAGAGTCCCACAAGGTGGCGA